AATTGGAGGAATTTGAGGGATGGGGAGGAGTTACTTGTTTCTTTCACTTCTTGTATTTCAGTTGAAGTATCAAGTGTCAAAGTCTAAAGCTGTTATCTGGCTGAAGTTTGTTGTGCGTGGGATGTGAGAATTTTTTCTGTTTGTGCTCTTTTTTTTGTGTGCTTGCCAATTTTTTGGCAGGGCAGAGCAGTTGGCATCATCTACCTGGACTTGTGCAAAGTATTCAACACTCTCCCGCATGACATCCTTGTCTCTAAATTGGAGAGGCATCAATTTGATAGATGGACCACTGGGTAGGTGTCCTGAGTTCAGCAGTAGCAGTCATTTTTCTCCTTCTTAGTAGCTGGTGCAGTGCTGCGTTTTTGACTTTCAGCTTGGGAACAGCACTGATAGCACTGATGTTTTTAGTTGCTGCTCAGTAATGTTTACTGTGATCAAGGACTTCGTGAGTCTCATGCTCTGCCAGAGAGGAGGGGAAGCCAGGACAGGACCCCTGACTCAAACTAATCAAAGAGGTATTCCATACCACAGCACGTCATGCCCACTATATAAACTGCGGGCAGTTGCCCAGAAGAGCTAGATCACTGCTTGAGTTGGGCTGGGTATTGGTCATCAGGTGGTGAGCAGTTGTATTCTCTTCCCTTGTTACTTCCCTTATCATAATTATTGGTGGCAGCAGCAGTGGTTTGTGTTATACCTTAGTTACTGGACTGTTCTTATCTCAAGCCATGGGAGTTACATTCTTTCAATTCTTCTCTCCATCCCTCCAGGAGTGGGGGGAGGAAAGGGGGTGAAGGTGGTGGTGGTGAGAGAACGGCTGCGTGATTCCTGTTGCCAGCTGGGCTTGAACCACAACAGTAGATAAAGAACTGGCTGGATGGCCGCACACAGAGAGTTGTGGTCAATGTCTCAATGTCCAGCTGGAGACCAGTAATGAGTGATGTCCCTCAGGGATCAGTGTTGGGACCGGTCTTGTTTAACATCTTCACTGCTGACATGGACAGTGGGATTGAGTGCGCCCTCAGCAAGTTTGCCAATGACACCAAGCTGTGTGGTTTGGTTGATACGCTGGAGGGAAGGAATGCCATCTAGAGGGACCTCGACACACTTGTGAGGTGAACTGATGCCAACCTCATGAAGTTTAACCATGCCAAGTGCAAGGTCCTAAACCTGGGTTGGAGCAATTCCAGGCACAGCTACAGGCTGGGCAGAGAAGAGATTCAGAGCAGCCCTGCAGAGAAGGACTTGGGGGTGGTGGTCGATGAGAAACTGAACATGAGCCAGCTTCAGTGTGCGTTTGCAGCCCAGAAAGCCAACCATATCCTGGGCTGCATCAAAAGGAGTGTGACCAGCAGGTCGAAGGAGGTGATCTGCTCTTGTGGTACTCTTGAGGTCGTCTGCTCTTGTGAGACCTCACTTGGAGTATTGTGTGCAGTTCTGGTGTTTTCAGCATAAAAAGGACATGGAACTGTTGGAACAAGTCCAGAGGAGGCCACGAGGGTGATCAGGGGACTGGAGCACGTCCTGTATGAAGACAGGCTGAGAAAGTTGGGGCTGTTCAGCCTGGAGAAGGGAAGGCTGAGTGGAGACCTCATAGCAGCCTTCCAGTATCTGAAGAGGGGGCCTACAAGAATGCTGGTGAGGGACTGTAGGGACTGTAGTGACAGGATAAGGGGTAATGGGTTAAAACTTGGACAGGGGAAGTTTAGATTGAATATAAGGAAGAAGTTCTTTCCTGTTAGGGTGGTGAGGCACTGGAATGGGTTGCCAAGGAAGCTGTGAATGTTCCATCCCTGGCAGTCCCTGGGACCAGATTGGACAAAGCCTTGGGTGATATGGTTTAGTGTGAGGTGTCCCTGCCCATGGCACGGGGGTTGGAACTAAATGATCTTAAGGTCCTATCCAACCCTAACCATTGTATGATTCTTGTGGTAGATTAGAAAGGCAAAATTTTTGGGTAGCTGACATTTAGTGCTTGAGAAGATAAATTCAGGTAAGTAATTAACTCTTAGTTTTTTGGAAATATAGCACACACTCACACCCAGTTTCTTTAATTTTCAAAATTCCCTGCATAGATATGCAATAGCAGTGCCTTTTTCCTTTTTTTTTTTTTTTTTTTTACATTTGAAGGAGAAAAAAAATCTTTTAAAAAAGTTCTGTTCATAAAAACTAGCTTAAGAAATGTTTTTGGAAGCATAAAATGATTTCAAATATTTTGAAGGTAAACTAAGTTAAAAATGAAAACCAGCTGATCTGGCATTTTACTCTTACAACCTACCTGTAGGCAAATGTAGTGAGCGTAGGAAAACAATATATTGGCAAACTACTATAAAAAAGCTTTTGCATATTGCTCAGTATCATTAATCATTATTAACTCAGCTCATTCCAGAGTTTCAAACTTTTGTTTTTATTTCTAAGTTTTCTATATTTTCTATATTTTAATATAAAAATGCTCAAAGCAAACTACTTTTTAAATATTCTGGGTTAAATTCAATTCAGCATGGATGTTTCTGATACTATTCTAGGGATTTTTTTATCCCAGACAAGTTGTGTACCTTGTGCAAGCTGTAAAAATCTTTGGATTTCCAAGCTGACGTTGTCCTTAATGTAACTTTATTCACTGTTCCTTTTGCTGCACTAAGTCTCAACCAAATCCTCCAATTAGTGCAAAGTTATAAAAGTATAGACAGATGGAAATTTAATATTTATAGCAAAATGCCCAGGGTTTTGATAACTGGAAACTCTTGGAGCAACAGATGATGTTAGCAGTTAAGACTTAGAGAAAGCAGCCTGTTCAGGGAAACATGAAAGCTCTTGTACTTTCTGAAATAATAAGTCATCCAGTGATGAACTTAAATGTCAGCATTAGTGTTTCTGTGAACTGGAACCATCTGTGGTTAACTGTCTAAAATAAATAAATAAATAAATAAATACTTCCCCACGTGGTCCCTAAAACCAAGTAGAAGTTTACAGGATTCACCTCTTATGCCACAGTTTCTATGAGGTTTACAAACACCACCATCTTGACAGATAGTTGAGTATTGCAGATCTGCACATCCATTTTTGTGATCAGCCCAAAGTGCTGCACAGTTGTGTTGTGAGCTTGGCAGGAATAGCTCAAGAAATACCACTGAGGAGTGCTGCAGGGGTAGGTGCATGCATAGGGACTCACGCTTTTAAGTGTTACTTAGGTGGAAAAAAAAATATACGTGTGTAGAAACTTGTACCATGTTGTAGCATGCCATTACCTGTGTAAGAAGTTTCCATAGATATCTCTTGAAGAGGCTGAAGTGTTTTAGGAGAGTTTCAAGATTCTCCACATTGAGTGATGCTTTCACTGTATTTCAGCATATAACAACAACATATAGTTGTTAAGTATGCTGTTGGTTATGAATATCCTATACCATTCATACTTTCTATAGTATTGTTATCTTAATCTTGCGTTGCATTATGCCACTATGGTAATTTTTAAAGGAGAACAATAAAGAAGGATTTCAGTGAGCTGTATAATGTTCTGATAGCAGTAAACCTCTCTACCTTCAAGGCAAGAGCTGCTTCTCTTTTTATTTTTTATTTTTTAATAATTTAACATATATATTGAAATAGCATCACTAATGTGATACTGTGTTGCTTTTCAGCATCTTAGTCTTTTAAGCCAGATCGTTGCAAATATATATATATAATGGAAAGTAAGATTTGTCATTTGTGTTTTAAAGCTATGAGATGATACATCAGATGATTTGTAAAATCATGTAGTTGCTGAAAGTAGCAAGACAGTTGCTTAACTATTTGCACAAAACCACCTGTGCACCTAGTATCTATTACAAACGGTGAGATACAGCCACAGCAGAGGTACTTGTTCTCCTGCATGCGCTGCTGCTTTTGGAAATTCCACTCGTGCACTTGCCTCTCAGAAGCTTTGGTCCCACCTGTGGTTCTCTTTTCAGAGCAGCAGCATTTCAGTACTGTGTCGCCACCACAGCTGCTGTCTCCCTAAGCTGTACAAGAAGTGCAAGTGTACTTTCGTTGCTTATCCAGGAACAATATATCGAGGTCACCAAGAAGAGAGGAAGAATGTTGTACTGCTGTCTTCAGTTTAGAAAGGATGTTTAAAGTTGGAGTGCAGAAATGAGGGATGAAAATATTTTATTTTCTTTTTATTTTGAGGTGGCAGCAGACAGTGACTACAGTATGTAAATATTTGCGAAGAAAGGACTGTGAGGAGTAAAGGAGTCCTTAGCAGAAAGCCTACAGGGACTAAGCCATTGGTTTATGGCTAACAGATAAAAACTAGAAGCAAAGCCACCTTAGTATTTAGCAACACATACAGTCTTGTCAGTGTCTGGGGGATGGTGAACCATGCAATGGTTTCCTCATCTCTTGCGTGTTTTCACATAGAGGCTGCAAGCACTTTCCAGAGGATTTGCTGTTATAAATAAAGGCTGATCTTTGGGCTTAATACAGGAACAACTGAATGAAATTTGATGCCCTGTGTTAAGTTTGGTTTAGGAAGATTGAAGGAATGGTGCAGCAATTCTGAGGAACACAAAGACTTTTTTTTGAGAAAATAAAAGGAACAATTTCTTCTCTAGAGTTTGTGGTAGAATGCACAAGAATTGATGGGTTTCAGTGCAGCATGTTAGACATAAAGAAAAATGTTCCACTTGTCAGAACAGTGAAATATGGAGGGAAAAAAAATGCCTGTGGAAGTTGAAATAATAATTTAGATGTGGTTAACTTTTTCCTTGAGTAAAAGAGATGAACTGAATGACCTCTAAAGTTTCTCCCAGCCTTTTCTCTGAGAGCCTGTAGTGGGTAATGTAGCTGTCAATTTTATCTTCAACTTCCTAAATCTTATTCTGGTTATCTTTTACCCCTGCTCAGCCAAAGTCTTGGGCTTTCATGTAATGTATCTGTTTAATGGCCTTACATCTGAACATGAATGATATTCCACACATAATGTCAAGGAAAAAAGTAACAACCCACCATCTTCTTTTTAGGTCCTCCAGGGAAAAGAGGTAAGCGGGGCAGAAGAGGAGAGACTGGTAAGTTTTCAGTTTCATAAGATCCATTGTTTTTTGGCACCAGTGTTTTTTTGAGGATACATAGCCAGCATGCCTTCATTTTTAGTTTTATTACTTGAGTGCTACAAAAGAGACTTCTGAAATGTCTCTGAGAAAGATTTGTGACCCTTGGCATATACCTGATGGCTTTCCAGATAGTTTTCTAGTCTTGGGCATCACTAATTTGTAAGCAGACTTCAGAATGCTTGACATGGTATCATTTGTAACATATTCTAGTCATCAAAACATTTTGGTGTCTTCGCACACTTGTGCAAGTTAGAGTAACTCCATGTAATTCAGTACTTGGAGTGCTGTAAGTCAGTGTTACATCAAACCCCCTTGGTCTGAAGTGAACAATTGCATAAGGACATAAAGAGCAAAATGATTTTTTTTATGTTAAGAGTATCAGTACTCAGGGAAATAACATGATAAGTAGACTGCTCTGTATGAGAGAAATTTTTTCTACTAGAAATGAGCGCCAAGTAAGTTCTTACGGAAAAACATTTGTTGGTTCATTACCCTGTACCAGGGGGGTTGCTGTTGAGAGGATCCTGCTGGTGGTGTGGAGCTTGAAATTTCATTTAAGACAATGTTGTGAGATGCTGAGCACCTCTTCCTGCTGACGTTCACAAGAATTAGAATTGATTACCTTGCAAGATGAAGTTCTTCATAGAGGTGAATTTTCTGGAGGCAGTGCAGGAGAAAATGAGCATTTCTGCCCTCCTTGGCTGTCTCATCTAATCTGCCAGTTAGGAAAATCTTCCAATCAACTTGATCTCTGTAAATCTCCTGTAGCTTTTCTTATCTCTGTAAGTGATCATTTATCAGACTTTAAAAAATTATTTCCATATTTTTCTACATCTCAAAACTGAAGCCAAGCCCTGCCAAAAGTTAATACAAATCACCTTGGTGTTTCCATTCAGTGTTGGCTTAGTATTTGCTTCAAAGAAAATTTCTGTGGTACAGAAGGAAATTCTGCGTTTGAGGATTGTCTTACAAATGATCCTGACAATTTGCGGGATGCTTTTTGATTCATTTTACATTTCAAGTAAACACATATTAAACTATTAATAAAGGAAATTGATCTCATTTAAAAACAGACCTGCACCTTAAAATGGTGTTTAAGAATGTTTACCAGGATAAAGAAATTACCTTAGTTACTGGACAATAAAATTGCATTGTTAAACCAAAAGGCTATCAATATTAAAAGCAATCTCAAAGTACAGCTGCTGTTTTATACTCCTTTTGCACTTCACTTTATTCAGAAATTAGAGAGGCATAAAAGCTTAATGAAATGCTATTGATTTGGGAGCTGCAGCTGCTCAACTTAATAAGACTGAAATAGTAGATTTGATTTGTGGCCCTTTGATAATGTTTCCAAGAACTGCTATGCAGGTCTTTGAGTCTAAATAATTGAAAAAATGTGCAAATATCACTTCACAAAGTGTGACATTTTAATGGGAAGCATTTTATATGTGTTCCTTTAGAAAGGAAGGTGATGAAAAGAAAGTTCAGCCCTGCCAGGTCACCACTAAAACCTCTTCTCATAAGCAAAGTTGGAATGCTGGAAGGTCCTAGTACCTATATGTCTTGATGAGATGCCCAGGTTAAATGCCAAGGGTACTTTGTGCAATTTTGCAGCCAAGCTGTGATCAAATACCAACTGTGTGGCTAACTGAAACTGGTGATGTGGTTACGTATGCTTGATGCGGAGACTGACAAAATGAATTGTAGTCCATGGCTGGTATTCTTGGAGTGGCATGAAATTGCATGGAAATGGATGGAGAAGCAACTTGCATAAGATTGCATGACTGTAATTGAAGAATTGGTAAGGTAAGTGCATGCATTTGGGCCTTAGTCATATTTACAAGTTACAAAGCACAACCAAGCTAAAAAGTACTTGAATGGGAAAATGTGTACAGTGTATTAGCAGTGCTCCTCACTTACAATCCTGCGGCCTTGTGCTTAGCTTCATATATATGTGTCTTTCTTTAATAACTTCATAAGCTTACACATTCTTTTTTTCTCTTTTTTTGCCCTCTTTCCCTCTACCCCATCCCACAGGACCTCCTGTAAGTACAGTGATACATTGTTGGTTCTTCCAGAATCAGGGAGAAATCTGTTAGATCCTGTTAAGTTATCACCGTGATAAAATGATCATGTATCATCAAGAGGGAGTTTTGATATTTATACTTACACAGTGTAAATGCTCACTAATTATCTTGGAGCTGGATAATTTAATCAGAAAGTTCCTTAAGAAAAAATTCTCTAAAACAATAAAGCTTTACAGTCACCACTCCAGATAACAGTTTGGATCACAATTCCACGTAAGTATGTTATGCTCATTTTGTTTATGCCTTGATAACAGGTACTTTAATACAGTATAAAACGTGCAAGTATAGTATCTTAGGCCCAGACTTGGTCACTCTGCCTTTTTCTGGGTAGTAACTTGCACTGCAGTCATCACAAAGTCTTCGGGTACCCGCTCCTTGTTCTTCGGAGGTGTATGAGCTTATCCAGCTTATTGCAGAGTAATCACTGCTGAAGCCAGTATGTGCTAGTGTAAAATGAATATTAAATAATACTGTTCAGTTCAGTAAATTAGTTGAATCTTGTGCTAATCCTATTTGTAAGAAAACAGTTTCTCCCTTCTGGGGATTTATGATGGTTTTGTTTTGCAGCTAGGTTATAAACTTGGTTGGGTTTTGTTTACTTTGTTGTACATTCCTGGAGTAGGTCAAAAGTCAGACTTGAAGAACAGGACTAAACACTCAAACATTTCTATTTGTCATGTCATCCATGTGCACCATATGGTGTAAAAGTGTGACCATTAAAACGTTGTTTCTTTTACAGTGTTTGCAGGCTTCTATTTTTTTTTTCTTTGATTGATATAGATTTTCACAATATTTTCAGGACCAGATTATCTGTCTATTCTATGCTACATGCATGCTTGAGAAAGGTGAATTAATATGTTGAATTCCTGCTATGACCTAATAATTTTACTGTAAATGGTATATGCTGAGCAGTGATACTACTTATCCCTGCCTGACAGATTTTGACCCCGTGCTTTATAGCTCATCGTGTCAAATTAATTTAATAAGCCATCAGTGAAAAGCCATGCTTAATGCATAAAGGTACTATTTATTTGAAAGAAACACCATCTTCCCCCATTTCTTTCGCAGTCTTCCCATGAAACACAAAGAACAACTGTAAATCATGATACAAACAATTTTCCTGTAGTAAGACAATGTGGCAAAAGTTCACTGTGTGGGTCATTATGGATGCCTTTGACTTCAGCTCCCTGCTGTTTTAGTACAGGTCCATTTAAAAAAAGAAAAAAAGGGTCTCAATTGTGGCTCCCAAAATGGAATAATTTTAGGAAGAATCTGAATTAAGTTCTAGTTTCATATTAAAAACCTACAGGACTTCATCTTGCTGAGAGGCAGTAAGGGTTTAAGTTGCTATAAGGCAAAATGTAATTTCTGTTCCCAATTAACTTTTTTATTTTCATAGGCACAGTCTGGCTAGGGGCAGCTGGTGTGAACTTAGTTATTGTTTTCATCTGGGAGTCTGTGGTAATAATTTTCATTTAAAATAGCAAATATTTGTTTATCCCACATAGGGATTAGTTGTAGTGTTTTCAATGGCTACTGTAGTGCTCTGCTTATTTTCCTGGCACATGACTACTGAGTATCACATGTAATAGCATTCAAAGGCTGCAGCTTTCATTTATTTTAATTTTTTTTATGATCTGTTATAGCATTCTCAAATTTCTTCTTTGGCACCTGTATGCTAGTGGCAGCCTATGTATGTAATACTTTACTGCCTAAGCACTAAACCTGTTTTCCTTTTAACCACATACTGCCCTTCAATCTAAATGGATAATTCTCTTAATACCAAAAGGAATTTCAATAAACATCAGAAGAGCCATTAGCCTTTTAGTTAGAGGGTTTATTTAAGTCAAAACTTATAATTTTCATTGCCAAAGCCTCATTTCTTCACTGTGTGAATTTTTTCACTGTGTGTATAAATTTCATATTTATTGGTTTGTAATGTCATCACATACCAAAAATTAATTGATATGCAAATTATAATCTGCCAGTAATGTACTCTGCATGTTTGTTATGTCGTATGTCATGACTGCGTTGTTAATGTGTGTCATACCATTTCATCTCATTCAACCAGGGTCTACCAGGGCGAAATGGCTATCCGGTAACTCATCAAATATTTATGACAGTATATATTACTCTGAAATCATGATGTTGTGTTTTAGTTTTCCTTTATTACTGTCAAAAAGACCTGCTTTCTATTTCTCATATACCTATAAAATGTAGGACTTTCCTCTAGAAACAAAACAAAAAAACATTGAGAAGATTTTTAAAAGAATATGAGTGCTTGCAGTGCATAAATGCAATGCACTGGTTGTTTGATGTACATATTTTGTGTTCAGTTTCTGCACTCTTGCATACAAAACTAAGTTTAATTAAAAAAAAGTTTTCTATAGCAAGATGCTGCATCTCAATTTACCATGTTAGAAAGCTGTACGGTTGCTTTATGGAACCTCTAAGCCCTTTCTTTGAATTCTGTCCTTTTTCTCTTGACTGCTTCAAGCAATGAGTTTTGAGAAAACTAAAATGCTATGGCAGAGGTCCTAGCAGTTGGCTGCATTGTCTGTCACAGAGTAATTTTATAATAATGGATGCAATTAAGTTTTCTGTCAGTTTCACCCATATCTCTCGAATTTATTCCCTTAAAATATATGAAATAATGCATCTTTCTAAAATCTACCAATAATATATTTCTTCCATGTAGTCAGGCTAGTTGACTGCAGTGTCCCTCTAAAGGAAAGAAGTATATGCATGTGTATTAGAAACCAAGTGACAAAATGTGTTAGTGTGATACATTTCAGAGACAATGCATATGCACAACACAGTGACTGTTAAAGTATGATAATGATATTACTCAAAGCACTTGATAGTATATCTTGGAAGGCCCTCCCGTACTGATTTGCCTATATATTTCAGGCAAAATATGCCTAATTTTTCAGTGAGTTTTAAAAATGTTTCTGTTGGTAACTATAAATCCCATGCTTTGAACATCTGCAGGTAAAAGGCAATTTCATAGTATCATTGAATTTCAGAAAGGTTTGGGTTGGAATGGAACTTTATAGATCATCTAGTCTAATACAGGCCATGGGCTGGGACATATTTCACTAGACCACATTGCTCAAAGCCCCGTTCAACCTGACCTTGAATGTCTCCAGATGTGAGGAATGCACAGCTTTGGGAAACCTGTTCCAGTGTCTCTCTGCCCACATCTTCCTTATTTCTGACCTAAACCTGTCCTCTTTTAAAATCATTGTCCCTTGTCCTGTCACTACAGGCCTTGGTCAAAACAAAACAAAACAAATCCAGACCCAACCAACTAAACAACAGCAAAACCAACAAACACAAACAAAAAACCCAAACCAAAAGACAAAAACCAGAGCAAAACAAAACAAAACAACCAAACCCAAGCCCTTCCGTGTTTCTTATAAGCCTCCACTATGTATTGAAAGTCCGCAGGAAGATCTCCCTACAGTGGTCCTTTCTCCATTTGGAAGCTCAACTCTCTCAGCCTGTCTTTGTAGGAGAGGTGCTTCAGCCCTCTGATCATCTTTGTGGCCTTCCTCTCAGCTTGCTCTGACAGGTCCATGTCCTCATTATACTGGGGGCCCCAGAGCTGAATGCAGAACTGAGGCAGAGTCTCAGCAGAATAGAAGAGGAAAATCACTTCCCTCAACTTGCTGGTCACAATTCTTTTTATGCAGCCTATTACAATGTTTTTCTCTGGGCATCTTCTGTAGTTGCAGAGTTTTCTGAGAAATGCTACCAATGAAGCATCATCCAATGTCTATCTTTATTAGTAGAAGTGGTTGAAAATCAACTGGGGAGGAATTGATCATCATTATTAAGAAACATGTTGGGTATACTGAAACCATTATTAGGTTTTATCAGGTTTCCTATTTCACTTAAGACTGCTTAATCTGTGTAGGTGAGTGCACAAGTGTGTGGAGGAGGAGATAAGGTGAAAAACTTGCTAAAATGCCTTTTTTTCTCGTCATCCAGCTATTAGCTCTGTATACAAAAACTGGAATTTAAAAGAAAAAAGACCCATAGTGACAGTAAACCAGCTGTTAGGCTTCTGTGAAAATTAAATCTTTGGTGTTCCTCATTTCAGTTAATGAGCTTAATACACAAGGTAAAGTTTATATTGTGCACAGCACGAAAAACCTCATAGATTTAACTTTTCGGCCTAAAGTGTAAGTTGAGAAAATGAGTGAATGTATTAGTGATGGATTCATGCATGTCTTGAAGGCTTCATGGGGACAGTTTGAAAACATAATTTTCTGTAGAGCCTGAAGGCCAGTCCTTTCTACTGGTCCAGCTGCTTTCTTGAGAAGATTTGCTGTGGAATTTGAAGACAATAAAGTTCTTGGAAGCCACACTATTGAAATTGCTGGGTCTAATAGTGGCATTGTTATAGGCAAACTTTAGCCTGAAAGCATTTCTGTTCATGCGTGCAGCCATCCATGTGTGGAATCATTTGCTTTCAGTAGTGCTTAGCATGAGTTGAACACTACTTCTTCCTGCTTGAAAGTGACTGGGAATAGAATTTGGCTATGGTTCCTGAAAATTGTCATGTGGCTAGCTGTTTCCATCTTTTCAGTTACAGCCACATCCACCTGCTTTGAATGGGAAGTATGTAAGAGCAAGTGCAATGCACTTTAAAAGTACTTATATAGCCCTATAGAGCTCTATGAAAAGGCTATTAGTGTTTAAACTTATTTCTCTAGAGTCCTATTTAACTCCTGTAAAAATATTATTGCTTTAATCTTTATTGGATATTCTGTGAGGATAGTGAGATATGTCTGTGAAATATAACTTAAAAAAACCTCTCTGCTCAATAGCCCAAAACATAAGGTTGTAATCTCACAAAATCTAGTGGTTGTTTTCTCCAGGACTGAAGTTTTCATTGTCCATGTTCATTCTAATTTTAAAGGTAACTTTAGAAATAATAATTATAACAGTAA